ACATAAATCCCGTTGCCAAGAGGCCGACCGGCTGAAATAAAGACGCGAATAGATACCGCGACCGCGAACGATACATCCGAACGACGAGATGATGCCCTGTCGCGTTTATTCGTATTTAAGCGGCGTAGCGACCACGCTTTATCGGGGCGCAAAAGCAGCAAGTATATCGCGTCAACATCCCTATAAGCGTTCCACCGATACACTCCCGAGTGGAAATCTTGTCTCTGCATCAACCCTGCAAATCCCGTCCGACTTGAAAGACCGACGGAGCATTTCGAGATATAATACACGAGGAAGATCGGTTAAATTGACGTGACAATGGATGGACCAAGCGCCTTCTTTCAGTTGAAAGAAGACAGTGCTTCTACAGATCGTTCATTGTCACGTTAGATCGGCCAAACTTTCTTTTTGCACACACAGACGCACGTGCACGTGCACGACGATAAAGTCACTGTGGAACGAATGCGATCAGGACGGTAAGCCGATATAAGCCGACAACTCGGACAGATGATCGGCTAACGTTACTCAGTTGGATGAGAAATCGCGACGTAACGTGTAGTAAAAATCAACTTGCGAACAAGCTGTGTGGCGTCACATGACTCGCCGATAACACGCGATCGGACGCGACATCGACGCATCGACATACACATGGTCGCCTGGAGAGAATCTTGACACATGTCGCGGTGACGCGGTTGTCTTCGGCGACATGTGTTTCCAAGTGTTTTCCTCCTCCTCTCTCTCTTCCTCGCATTGGTGAGACATCTCTCGTGTAACAGCAATAAACTCGTTGAGAATTACACGCCGAGCGTACTCGCGGGCGCACCCGCGATTTCATAAAACGAAATGAAAGAGCCGTGAGAACATACAAAGGAGCAGCGGCAGTCGCCTGGCTTTACCGAGTAATAAATGAAAATGGGTCGAGCATCGTCGCCTCTCTCCGGAAGATATTAATAACCATATCGACTCGAAGCTATACATTTGCGCGACACGGAATCGTACTCACTTGCAATAGCCGACCGGCGTGAGATCGAGTCGCTAGCATAATCCTTTCGCGATGGGCTTTCGTCGATCGCCGATTCAGAGTCTTAGCATAATTACTTGTCTCACTTGTACAATAAAATATCAGTAGAACAAAATTTGATTCAAGAAGAGAATTCGATCAAATTCGCGCTGACGAACGCTGCAAAAATCCGTCGCAGAAGTACAAATACGATGCAGATCGACGCGGCTCGTGTCGAATTTTTTCGAATCACCTGGGGTAAACGGTTTACGCAAATGAGAGCTAAATGCAAAGCGTTGCTTCGACAAAATTCACCGTTAGTCGTGCGCACCGGTGGCGGCACGATACACAATTGACAAACAAGATGATTGAACGATAACAACGTCGCCGAAACGAATACCCCGATCAATTACGTCGATTGCGATCGATAATGATGTGCGAGCGTGACGCAAGTGAAAAAGCGCATTACACGCGCACACAATTTCGGTGCTCGTGAGAACATGCGAATCCTCTCTCTCTCTCTCTCTCTCTCTCTCTCTCTCTCTCTCTCTCTCTCATAATTCTGCATTCTCGCAGACGTGCGATTGGTACATGCGACGACGACGACGACGACAGATCCCGCTTTCGTGTTTGTTTGCCGACGCTTGTCACGTAATATCAGCGATTATTTCGTCATGCATTTAGCCATGTAACGTCGGTTGCAACGGCGATACACGGCTGGACGGCGCGACAACGGGCGAATTTACATGTGCGAATTTATGCCACCCTCCTCCCGTGTCGTTATAAGCGCAAAATTAAACTGCTGTAAGTGCCGAAATTGTGTGCAATTAACATTAGCATAATACGTCGTCGGTGCTGTTAGTGACAACGGTAAACGTTCCATAACTAAACTAATGTCGCCGATTGTTCCATCAGCTCTTCATTACGCTCGAAAACCTCGAGAATACAGACCTCAGAAGTTGAATTCCGATGAAGGTAATTATAAAATGTCTCTCCCCTGCCCCTCCTTTTTCTCGTTCTGCCGCTGAAACTTCGCGCTCTTCACGGCATGGAAATTACGATTCCCTCCGAATATACCAGCTTCCTCTCGAGATTCTTGTCTCTCCTGGCTCTCGTCGACACCAGGGAACTCCATTGCACCGCTTTCGGCCACGTTAACCGGATTGACGGTGACGTATGTCAACGTAATCAGACGGCACGACGTCTCCCTGACGCACAGACGTGCGCGACTTATGATCGAGGACCGCCGCGGGACAGGCGGATGCCGCGACGAATGTACGCACGGTGCATACATCGCGGCGCGGCGCGGCGCGTCGCGGCGCGTCGCGGCGCGTCGCAGCCTCCTGAGAAATTATGTGTCGCGTACACGCGCGCACGACGAAAGCGATAAATCACCACCACGACCGCGAGCGAGAGCGACCATGTCTGGCCGGGAGAGAAGGCCGAGAAAAATGCGAGCGTCTTTGACAGTTCTCGCCGCGGCGTATCGTACGGTCGATTAGTCGCCTCTATTTATTGCCTCGTTACAATGAATTTGCCCGCTGTATGCTCGCACGAGAACGGAGCTGTTAATCTGGCGATAGCCGGCCGCCGGCCGGCGCGGCGTTCACGTCTCCACTCGACGTATCGAACGTATTAATGACGCGCGAGACTTTCGCGGTATGATGTAACGAGCGGCGGGGGACAAAGCGCCGAAAGCGGAAGCTCCGCTCTATGCGCAGTGGTGAAAACGGCAAGCATATTATCGTTTCACACTCAATTACCACCAGTTCGCGGTAGATCACTAATTATAGCCGGCTCATCCCGCATCTCTCTTTATCGAGGACATTCATAATTGTATTAAAATTATTAGGCGTGAGAGAATTAATAACGTGGTAATAATAGATTAATAATAGATTAACAATAGATTAATAATAGATAATAATAGATTAACAAACTAAACTAGTGTGATAGCGTTTAGCGCGGGGTGTCCCGCCGTTTGGTGGTTCGTTAGCTTGCCCTTTCTCTCTCTCTCTCTCTCTCTCTCTCTCTCTCTCTCAATCTCTCGCTCACTATTTTCAAAATCTGCGACTCTCACGGTTTGCACGCGCGCGCGCAAAAGCCGCGAAAAAACACATCGCCGCGCGATGTGAACTGAAATCGCGGAACGAATTGCAGTGACCCGTCGTCTCTCAATGACCCACATTTTCGGGTGGCGAGTTTCGAGCTATCGGCACATCGCGCAAATTTACACAGTTCGTCCATCGGTACGTCAGTCCGAAAGCCGGCGGCGGCGGCGGCGGCGGATGAGCAAAAATTCCAATTTCCAATCAGTAGCCAGAATATAAACGCGAAAGTGCTTTCGCGGCTGGATGATGCGACCAGTGCGCACCATATGTGCGTGTGTGCGCGTGAGCCTGTGCATTTGTATCTACGTTCTAATTACGTAAGCGACTCGCGTAAACCGACGAGAAGACGAAGCGCGATCTGAATCCCGCATGTTCTCATCATGATCGCGCGTTATCGAACTATCGGAGAAGCAGCGCACTTGTCGATATCAGCCTTTCATGCTTTCGGTGTATATATACGAAATGTGCGTATCGATGCGAGCGACAGCGGCGGAGCTTCCTGATCGATGCGAGTTCTATGGCCGGCGAAGAGTTCCGGCAAACGTACGCGACGACACGATTCTCAGCGAATGTATATGGTAGATATAAACGCTTCCACCCAGTCGAAGCCACGAGAGCGCATTAAATGTCGCGTGTTGTTCGTGTTGTTCGCCTTTCAAAAAGCAAATTAAAAGAAAAAAAAAAAACGCAGTAGTATTCGTTAATTAACGTTTCTGCGAGATTTTGTACGAGCGTCCGTGCTCTCGAGAGACAATCGGTAACCGCCGCGAATACCGAATTCTGCAGCTATCGCGGAAGCTCCCCGTCACAGGCGGAGAATGTTAAGAGTCGTTTAATTTCCGAATTGCATACAGAACGTGCGCGGTAATGCGCCAGCTGCATTCGCGAGAGGAAGCCGCCGCGCCGTCGCGGCTTACGCACTCACTCGGGCCCTCTTTCTCCCTCTCGTTCCCTCGCGGGGATGGCGTTTTCTGTTACGCAATGGATATGCACGCGCCACACATATATCAGCCCATACCATTATGGAGGCATAAATCCTACGAATCGATATCGACACCGACAAAGAGCGGCGCCGGATAAAAAGGGAGAAACCGCCATCGCCGACGACACGGCACCTCTCCTCGCCTACCTTTGCGCGAAGACTCCCGGGGAAGAAAATGCTCCCGTGCAAATGCGATTGTACGCGTCTCTGTGGCGAAATGCTCTCGAATAAATTCGCTTCCGCTTGATATATTCCCTACTGTTCCAAATCTACCGCGAGTCTTAGAGACGGATAACGTGAGAGCGAGGTAACATGAGCGCAATTTTCGGGCACAGACTGACGTTCTCGAGCGCGAAAACACTGCCTACGGCGGAAGAATGTTAAAAACTCTTGTTGACCCACTTGCGCCCCCGGTAATGCACGAAAACGCGGATAAATAACTCCGAGCGGCCGCATACGTCGCGTGGCATACAAGTCGGCGGCAGAAGTTTGTAACGCGAAACGACCGTCGATTTCGCGGAAATGACGATTTACGAGCGACGGGCTGATTCGCGACCCCGTGTCGCGAGTCGGTGCGTTCGCAAATTCAACGCGCACCGTATCGCGTCCCGTATTTAGTCCCCTCCTCTTCTCCTCCTCATCGTGTCATCGAAAAATCGTCGCTGCACCGGGCCATTATTTTTTGACGAGATACAGGCGAATACGTCCGCAATGAATGATACTGTCGATTAAATAGCCGTGGAAACATGTCCCGACGATATCTACCTCTCGGTATCGGACGATTGAAATCGTCATCCTCGTCGCCGTCGCCGTCGCCATCGCCGCCGCGGCGGCGGCGACGGCGGGTCATTAGAGACGGATCGATCGACGTTTATAGGATTACATAAAAAATAAGAGAGGAAAAACTCACATTCTCTTCGACGGTCTTCTTGATCTTCGCGCTGGCCTCCACCACGGTCTTCCCGGCCTTGTTCACGGCGCTGTACAGGAATCCACCGAGGCTCTTTGCACCTGCCAGTGCCTTCGTGGAAACTGTTGACAGAACACGGAAAAATGAAACGAGAACGAATGCGACATTCTGTGTGAGGGAGCTGTTCCGTCCGCAGTTAACCGCGGGAACAACGCGTAGTCGCGAAAAGGTCGTAGCTGCAGAGCAACGGATAGCAACAGCAGCAGGATTGTACGACTACATTTGTTTGTCGTCGGAAAATAAAAGGTGCGCACGCGCGCTCGGCTCTTTGAGCGAAGAATCAAAAGGGACAAAAGAATCACTAACCGCATAGAAAATTCGTGTATCGTCCGTTTTGATCGCGTTAATTTCTGGCTCCCGTTCTCATCGAGACAAAGGACCTCGCGGCGCTCGAAATCCATAAAACACAAGGAAAGCCTGACTCATGATTGAAAAAAAAAAAAAAAGAAAAAAGAGAAGACAGAGAAATTAGTCGCGCCAGCTGAGAGAGACTGGGAAAACGCGCAGTGTCCTCAAATCAACGCGCGAACAGCGTGCCATTTGCTCATTCCAACTCAGATATGTCAGGTAGATTTCTCACGAGACTCTTTTCCCGAGAATTCCGACTTCGTTACTTTATGATGGCTCGATGAGAAAGCAAGACGGACGAACGCGCGTCCGCCGCTGAGAGTCTACTTCTGTTAACCGCGAGCAATCTCGAGTTGCGAGATGTCCGCGACGTTAAAATATAACACGAAACGACCGATGTGAACCTGGCAAGCAACTAAATAAAAAAAAATTCACAATACAGTTCGGTTGTACTTCGTTTGTATCTGTTTGTACCACTTTTTGTTTCGTTTGTACTACAAAGGATAAAAAGATACAAAGGATACAAAGCATAAGATATCGCAAGATACGGCCAATGCCGTTAGAAAGAGAATCGTGTTTGTACCCGTTTGCACCTCCCTTCAAATCGTTTGTGCCTCAAAGGAATCGGAAATAAGAATTTTCAAAAATCATCCAAGAGGTACTTTCGCCAATTTTTTAGATATCGCAAAACGGCCAACGCCCTTCGAAAGAGAATCGTTTGTACCCGTTTATACCTCCCTTCAAATCGTTTTCTCGTACCTCAAAGGAACCGGAAGTACAAGATCTTCAGAATATGTCGGAAGGTTACTTTCGTACTTCCGGTCTATTTAAGGTACAAACGATTTCAAGAGAGGTACAAACTAGTACAAACGATTCTCTTTCGTATGGCGTTGCCCGTTTTGCGATATCTCAAAAATTGGCAAAAGTACCTCTTGCATGTTTCTTAAAGATCCTGTACTTCCGGTTCCTTTAAGGTACAAACGATTTGAAGGGAGGTACAAACGGATACAAACGATTCTCTTACGGATGGTGTTGGCCGTTTTCGGATATCTTATACTTGCTTGCTGGCTGTTTTTCTCCTCTCCCTATCTTTTTATTTTTTGAGTTACAAACGAAACAAAAAGTGGTACAAACAGGTACAAACGAAGTACAATCGAACTGTATTGAGAATTTTTTTTTATTAAGTTGTTTGGCGGGTTCACATGCACACACACACATACACATCGGTCACGAAACACGTCTGTATGCAACTTTTACTAATGCATCGGCAGATGTCGCCGACACGTGCCCTCGGTGTGATTTCAATTTGTCGCAGCGATCGCAGCGTTAGAGAATTAAATTCGCAATTCGTGAAATTCGCATATCGCGCGTCTATCTCTATCTCGTCTATCGCATTCGTCTATCTCTGTCTCTCGTTTTCTTTCTCTCCGTCTCTCCGGGCGTCGTTGAGTATCGCACGATAGTTGGGCGGACATATAAATCGCAATCGAAAGCCGCACATAAAGAGAGTTTCCGCGACGTTACGTATTATCCGCATAATTTTCGCATATCCTCCACGTTGGCGTACAGACGGTCCTCGCGAAATAACGGCAAGAACGGCTTCTCCGTGTTCTCCTCGCGGGTTCGTAATCCCAGGCTGAAATAGCGCGTGATAAATCAGCTTGAAGAAAAAAGCAGAACCTATGGTTCTGCAAAGTCCCCCGTGCCCCCGTTTTTACACATTTATCTCATTTTTACGCAACAAGCAGGCAACGGTAAAGTATTAACCGAATGTGCGAGCTGGCTATAATTTTGTTCTGCGCGCTGTGTGTGTGTGTGTGTGTGTGTGTGAGTGCACGGAGAAATATAAAGTAAAATCAGGCCGTTACGGTAACGCTGTAGGAACGCCGCTGCACTGCGCCGTACACGAACGTGTATCGTCGATGCACTCCGAAGTCGTCGTCATCGTCTAAATCCCACACTCGTAAAAGCGTATTAGCCATTTTCCCGTACACCGCGTCGGTCGCGGTAAGTTACAGTGACATTTACACTTCCGATAAAATAGAAAGCGATTCACCTCTTCTTATAGCTTTAACGACTCGTGGAAAAGGTCGGCCGGCGTTCTTCGATCTCGGAGTCCTGAGCTGCCACCTTACGGAGTATCTCACCGTGCTCGCCAACATATCAAACTCGTAATTCGCTCGTAACCTTCAAGCACATTTAGAAAAGTAATCTCGCGGAGAAGCGGAACTGAGCGCCGCTCGGGGCGCGCTCGAAACGCGACAGTTCCGCCAATTTCATTCGCGCAGCAGCGCATGAGTTTCATTTGAGATCGTCATCGGCACTCAGACTCGCCTCGGCGAATCCGGGGTTAATTTGGTTCTTATTTAGATTGTATCGAGACACACCCGCTCGAGGCTGAACGCGTCCAATCGACGCAACGCTCGTCCGCCGCAAATAGCAAGATTGCGCCGAAAGCGCAATACTTTCTCGATTAAGCGGCCGGGCGGAGAAGCACGAAGAGCAGTCGGGAGAGACTTTTAAACTACCGGCGAGAGAACTCGTGGAAATTCATGAACGACGTCGCGTCGTCGGGGTACTCGCGGGAGAAGCTCTTGCGACGTTGCTTTATACGAGCCATAGAGGAACGAAAGTGGAATACCCGGTTGAGTCGCGCGGCTTTCAAATGGAAAACGCGTATTCTCGCGTCCTCTTCTTTTTTTTTTCCTTTCTACAACGGCAACCCCGTTGCACCGCGATCGCGTTGTAACACGGCACTCGACGACGCTGCCGCGTTCACAACCGCGGCCACGAAGGGGCGCCCTTAAATCATCGGCGCGAAACCGCGCGGAGGAACACGACGAGGCGTCGTGAACAATGCGCGGCGCGCGAGGCGCGGAGTGCCAACAACTCGCTGGTCCGCACCGAGCGAGCGGTTTAATCAAGCGGATTGAGACGCGCGATTCGATTCGCGCGGTTTCTTCCCCCCGTCCATCTCCGTCGGTTGTTAAAGAGAAACGGTCGACGTTTAAATGCAGCGGAAAGCGGTTTCTCGGGGCGGTACACCGCGGCGCTTAATAATCGCCATCAACGTGTCGACGAGAGCATCGGCGCCGGATAATTGGTGCCGCAGTAATCGTGGTCATTCCGGAGAACCGAAGTGCATGCGGACACGCGCATACACACATACACACGTGCACGTGCACTGTGAGCAGGTTCATCCCTTGTTGTACACATCGCGATACCTCGCGACACACCGCGCGTAGCGGCCCGGACTTGCTAAACAAATGGCAGGTGTCGCGCGGATATTCGCGTCACGCCGAGCTAACTCTTTAGGTGCCAGCAATAATTGTATGAGAACTGCCGTGCAGTGGAAGCGGAACAGAAAGTTCAAACAGAGAGAGAGAGAGAGAGAGAGAGAGAGAGAGAGAGGAGCAGAGAGCACTATGAACGTTTTCGAGACGTTACAGACGTTTGGGTAGAAAATCGAGAATCTGGTGTCGCGAGAGGACAAGCCCGCGACGCGGAAAACTGGCTGTTCCATTTGTGAGAAGAGAGAAAGAGACCGCTCGCGTCCCACGCGATGAAAGAAAAACGTCCGTCCGTCGTGGAACGCGGGTGGTTAGACGTGCAATTCGAACTCGCGATTCTGCGTGGAAGTGCACGTGACAGTTACAAACGCGTGCGAGGGGACGTCTCTGTTTGAGACGAAACTGGCTCGTCGGCAAGATCCATCGCACTCGACTGTAATTGGCACAACTGATATACGATACCCTGCTCGTTAACGGTCTCCAGTTCCGTTTTATTTCCACGCAGATGGCTCGGGGCGACGTCGACGACACCGTTGACGGTGGCGAGCGACAGCGGAAAATTGCTCGACGTCGCGTCGTGACGCAAAGTTACGAAAAGTTCACAGCGACCGACAGAGACGGTGCTGGCAAGCGAACTTGCCGCGCGTGACAGAACTTCCGCGCTGTAGACGCGACTGGAAATTTCGCACAGTGTATCGTCGGTTTGACCGACGACAGAACTCTGTAGCAATCACTTAGGCGATGTCACGAGTGAAGAAAACGAACGCGAAATGATACGATGTACGTAGGACGCATAATGGTCCGATAAGATACCGCGCTCCCTCTCCCAAATTCTTCACGATAAGATATTCACTTGTTACTCACGAGCGCCGTCGAACGGTAACGATACGGCCACGACGCGCTAACGAAACATTTCGTAGTCAAGAATGAAAACTCGAGACTCAGCTCGATCGCGCACAGCGTGCGACATCTCGTACGCGCTCATTCGTTCATTCTGTCCGGTTAATGGAGGCGTTTTACAAAGCGATATAATTATCCGCGTCTCGTATCCTTATATAACCTTGCGGAGTATCTTGTACGGAAAGGTCACGTATATATAAGAGCGGCGTGACTGCCTTGTGCGATATTAGCGGCGCACGATCCTTATGTCACGAGGTCTCGTTCCGTGTTATGCAGGCGCATCGATAATTGTGTAATACATTGGAAGCGTAGCGGTGAGTAAGAACGAAACATAAGGAAAAAGAAAAAGGTTGTCGCTACCGCGGCCAAAATAGCGCGCTATCCAATCCCCGTTAACAAGATGCCCGTTAACAAAATGGTCCCGCTACGTGACTGCCGCTCGTACGGCAACTCGCAACACGCGATTCGGTAACGCACAGCCGTTGGAACGGATTTATCTTTACGCTACTTGATAACGATGTTAT